GTTGTTTACGCACCGGATCACTTGGAAACACAAAACACTGCGTGTATCCTTCAGTTTTAATCGAGCTCTCGTAATTGCTCTTGCACCCAGGCACAACACATGTATCTGGCATGATTCACTAGCAAGTTCAATGCCATTACAAAACAATTAAGGGTAGTAGAAACGTGAATAAGTACGTCGGTACGCGACTCCTCCATTTACTGTAATGGTAAGACGGCCGCGCGCCAAGACACGGATGCGACGTTGCCACGTTTCGCTCGCCGCAGCCTTGTGTTAGAGGTGGCTGTGTTTAAACACATATAGACACTCAAACATCATGGATGACATAGACTTGAACAATCTAGGAAATCAGGTCTTAGTCAAAAATTTGACGCAACAATTGCGGTAAAATACTACTGATGGGAGGATCCAAGAAAATGTCGGTACCGGATTCGGATCTTGAAAAAATCGGGTTCGGATCCGGATACGCTTTTTTTCTTTTTTTCCCAAAGACGGTTTTTATTAAAATAGCCAAATGGCTAACAATATTACAGTATTTGTTGACGTCAAAAATTCATATGGCTAGGTAATGTGACAATATATGTTGATGTAAATAACTCATATGGTTAGGCAATGTCAAAGACTATCTGTCTCCATACACAAGACTGTCAAGGGGGAGGGGGCTATTACTTTTTATTCACCCTGAACACAAGACTCTCTGTATCCTTCTATAATACAATTTTTATCCATATACGTGACTATCCATATCCATAGAGTTTTATTTTTAATTAGACATCTAAGAGATTTTGTTCCTCCTTTGTATGTTAGATCTGCGTATTTTGCTTTTTTTCAAAGTCTGTTAAAGTATGGTCTGTTACTGTGGGGTAACTTTACCCACATTCTAATAATTTTAAAGCTTCAAAAAAAGGCTGTAAGACTGTTGACCAATTCAGGGTTGAGGGACCATTGTAAACCTCTTTTTAAAGCAACAGGTATCCTGACAACTGTAAATTTGTATATATTAGAGTGTGTTATTTTTGTAAAACAAAATCCACATTTCTTTAGCTCTAGAAATAATTTTCACTCATATTGCACAAGGGGAAGATCTGCTTTGGATAGGCCCTACACCAGACTAACAACAGTACAGCAAAGTTTTGCTAGTATATCAGTAAAAATAGTAAATTGTTTTGCAAGTGAAATACTTGACATTCCTTGTACTCGGCTAAAACAAAAGTTGATGGCTTGGCTTGCTGACCACCCTTTTTACAGTTTGGATGAATTTTTTGCAGAACACAATTGTAATGGTAAAATTGTTATCTAGTTCTTACTTAGTCCCTAGTCAACTGTTACCTAGTCTTTCAAACACTTTGTTTAAGTACCTCACTTTTGTTTCTGTATATAGTTCTGTGTTTTTCAAATGATTTTAGCTTTTATTTTCTTGTTGTCTTTGTTATATTTAAGTTTAGTGAAGATTCCATGTTATAGACCATGTTATACTATCTAAAATCTATGGCCCTTTTTGGCACCTTTTTTTGTTAACGAGGTCTATTGTAACATATGTTATTTAATGACCAATAAAGATTTATGATTTATACATAGACCTTGTATATGGCCACAGATAGTCTTGTACATGGATACAGAAGGCCTTGTATATGGATACAGATAGTTTTGTATATGGATGCAAATAGTTTTGTATATGGATGCAAATAGTTTTGTATATGGATATAGATAGTCTTTTATATGGATAGAGTTTTGTATATGGACACAGTTAGTCTTGGACATGGACCCTGATAATCTTGTACATGGATACAGATAGTCTTGTTCATGAATACAGATAGTCTTGTTCATGGATACAGATAGTCTTGTTCATGGATACAGATAGTCTTTTATATGGACACAGATAGTCACTATTAATTTTATTTTAAAATACATCATTATGACAAAACCTGTTCTTATGTATGAATTGTACTTGATAAAAAACGTGTGGTGTTAATAGAATTAAAAAAATAAATTGGATGCTTTAAAACCGGATCCAGCCCAAAATCCAATTTTTTTTTGGATCCGATCGGGCGTCGGTTCTAGCTCAGATCCGGTAGTCCGATATCCAGATCCGACCATCACTAAAATACAATCATTAGGCAAAATTCACACCTTTTTTATAATTTCTCTCTCTTATTAAATTACAATCCTCCCAGTTGAAACTCTTCCCACATATTTTGGTGAAATAGTTGATACGAAAAGATTTGTTTAGTACTGAAATTTGTTTATTATTAAAATATTAGTAAATCAAGGCAAGATGTCCTCAACAGTGTTAGTAAAGTTAGTGAACCCCTCAACAGGTAAGATAGTGAAAAAAGCCCACATTTCACAATTAAAACGATTTTTTCAACCAATTTATTTAATAAACGTTGTCAGTGTGCACAATAAAACCTTAGCCCAGTTTAATTAGTTATAAGAAAAACACCTAGCAAGAAATCTCGGGTAACTTGACTGACTATAACAATACAATACAACAATATGGTACACAATACAACTCCAACCCTAGCTGATAGGGTGTTGGGAGTTGAGTCTAAGGCGTATTTTCACGGAGGATGCGCCCACAGTTCTTGGCACACTGCTTGGCCCGAAGCCGAAAACAACAACAACACATGGCAAGTTGGCAGCGAATCACGTCATAGTGTTTATATTTAATGTATGCATTTCAAGACCCCATTAATTAACAACCTTTTCATTCCCCTTAAAACCTACAATTCAAGCAAACGACTAACTTTTTAAAAAATTTTTAATTTTAATTTGTTCAAATTGGCTATGACGGGAATCGTTCACCATAACACATTCCTATGACAGATTGCAACTTTCATAGGGATAGTGCAGCCGACAGCTTACTTACGACAAACACTCACTAACAGTACTGGACTGAGAAATGACAGAACGATTGCAGCACATTTACGATACAGACAAATCACTACAGAACAAGCTAGACTTAAGCTATGGTAATTAGGCTTAGTAGAATTAAGTACAATTAAGTATTCTGTGTTAACATAAGTAATTGAGTCACAAAAGTAAAAACGAGAGAGAATAAAAAAGTATAAGTAAGTAAAGTCATCCACGTATGTTAAGATAGATACATGGTATTAAGGCGTAATACAATCGTTATCACAAGAAGTAGATAAAAGCGCACATTACAATCCATAGGTTTAAATGAAACACAGTATTCATAGCTTGGCAGAAGAGTTCATGTATTCTATATTTAGAAAGGGTAATTTAAATGTTTATTATGTGTAATATACTTGCATGCATTCAAATAAACTAATAAATAAAAAAATACATTAAAATATATTTATATCGCTGAGCGACAGAGAAGGAAATGGACTAGTAACAAACAATAGCAAGCGCCAGCCACGAGATAACACCGCCGTTATCAGCCCAAACATCTGTTGCATTCAAACATCTACTTCCGTCCTACATAAACAAACAAACCAAGCACCGATCAATCCTTCCCATCGAAGGAGTGTGTTAAAATAATATTTATATAAAAATTAAATAATATTTATATAAAAATTAAATTGTGCTACGCCATCCGGGGAATAAATAAGTATCATTTAAAACCTCTGTGCACAATTGTTGATAATTGGTACAAGAGGAACTTCGAACGAATATACACTTGCAATAACATTATCACTTTTTACATCAACCAACAGTACTTTCGAAACTCCATTCAACCACGAGAAGCATCCAAACCAAAAGAGTATATAATGTGTGTCACAACTAGTTAGTTAATAAATATTATAAATTTTAGTAATATTACAGTAATATATGAATTTAGTAATATACCTCCCAGAAAATCAAATCCATAGCATTTAAGTAGAAAAACATTAGATATTTTTTTCCTTTTCTCCTCAGTAAATTAAATCTCATTGTTAATTAGGTAGGACACCTTCTTATTGTTAATAAAATCTTTTAAATTATAAGTATCAAAAGTAACCTTAAGTAAAGTAGTCGCGATCAATTTTTTCCGAATATTTAGGGAATATATCAGTGATAACAAAGACCATAATAAATAAACATCGATCAAAACAATCTCCAATATCACCTCTGAGACAATGTATCATCAACCAGACACCAACTTCAAAATCCAACGCATTTCATTCAACATTAAAGAGATGATCAGCAATATAATTGGCGCCCCAAACTTAAAGCTAAAAAAAGCCACCTACTCATCTTTCCCAAACCAACCCCCCAAAAAAAGAGCAACTCACCAGGGGGGAGGATGTAGCGTCCCGCTACAACTACTCAAGCGCAACGCGTAAAGTCACATGACACGGCTGGGGTAGTTGCACGGGCAGGTCCACCGAAGAGGGCACGTGCGCCAAGACACAACGGGGAACAGAGTAGTGTTGTGAGTGCCAGCGTCAGGACTTCTACGTGTCGGATGAGCAGATTATTTAGTAGGGGTTGGGGAAGGGTGTAGGCTAGGGTAAATTAGTAATTAATTAAGTAATTTACCAAATTACATAATTAGGTTTACCAAATGGTCGTGGTCTGGTAATTAATAATCCAAATTTATACAATCACTATAATAATGGTACACTACCTCGTCAAGTAATCCAAATGTTGATTGAGGTTAACAACTTACATGTTTCGCCGTAAATATGGCATCGTCAGGGTTACAAAAACGAAGACATCGATGTCATATGCACACAATAAATATACAAATATGAACATTTATAATTTTATGTTATTTAAATAATATGAATTAAAATTTATGTTATTTAAATAGGAAATAAATCTGACAATTTAAAGGGAATATTTAAGTAGAAATTCAGCCAGGTAAATGGAAGTTCGCTTAGTCTGCAGGTTTGCTGCGGGGGGGGGGTATTGTACTATGTCATGTTTTTTGTATAAGAGGGGATATTCTGTTGCAATTACAGTATATTGCAATATTCTATTAGATCAATAATGGACTGAATTAAAATGGTATTTTGAAAGTTATAATGCTATTTGGGATTTATGAATTGCAGGTTATGATCTGGTGCTTGCCGAGGACGAGGAAATGAACAGAATGATTGAATCAATGAAGCTGTTTGATTCAATATGTAACAGTAAATGGTTTGTCGAAACATCAATCATTCTTTTCCTGAATAAGAAGGACCTGTTTGAAGAGAAGATAACCAAGAGTCCTTTGACCATATGTTTTCCTGAATACACAGGTAAATACGGGTTTTCCCACGAATAGTTGGATTTAGTTCCTTAGTGATTTAGATTTTAGTAGATCCCAGATATTTGTATATTAATATTACAATATTAATATACAAATATCTGGGCAGTTGAGTGGTTCTAGACTTGTGGGACATGTGGGTAAGGCCCCTTGTACCTCTTGGTGTTAGAGGTTAATTAATTTAATTCCAATAAACTTATTCTTTGCACTTATCAGCTGTCAATTCCAGTGTCACAATTTTAATATTAATATTTCCATTATTACTTAAATTAATTGTTCACATTGTGTCCAGTCATTTGATCTGTAATTATTATATTCATTCAAAGACTATTCTATTTGTGTAGTAAAAATGCTTCAATTAACATTAGTAATCATCAAAGCTGGCTCTTTGGGCCTGTGATTCACGGTTAATTGTATCCTCTGATTAAATTTAAGGGTTCAGTCTACACTTATAACATCAACGATTATGTCGTGATTGCCAGTCAATTAATAAGTCAATAAGTAGTTTATTAGGCCAGATCAACATACTGTATACATGCATTAGCCAAGTCAAAATTCACAAATAATCGCCATACGTGGCTACACCGCCACAATTTCAATAGTTTCCACAGCTATTTTCTTTAAAAGCAATTCAGTATTTCATTATTAGTACTGAAAGTGGCACTTCCCTATGTGCTCAAGCTTCATGTGTGAGGAAAAGCTGAGGTATGGAATAATTGGAGCATGACCCAGGAATCACTTTTGGTACAAGTTATAAACCATACTTCTCATCGCAACTTAAAAATACTCACAAAAGAATAACATACATCAGTAAAACTAGGGATGGATGGGTCCCGAAATTTTGGAAAATTTTCAGGTAAAAAATATCCCCGATTTTCGGGACGGGATTACATTTGATTCGGGATTTTTTCGGGACAGGATTTGATCAGATCATTGGCGATTTTGCCGCTTCGTGAGTGACAATGACGCCGTTTTCGCAAGAGATGTTCATGATAGTTCCGCAAACGCAGGAGGCAAAGTCATTTCGACGACCGTGCCATGACCACAAGTCATACCGACGATCGCACAGTGACTGCGAGTCATACCGACGATCACGCCGTGACCGCGGAGTCATACTGACGATCACACCATTACTGCGGAGTCATACCGACGATCTAGCCGTGACCGCGGCGTCATTTCGACGATCGCACTATGACCACTAGTCATTTTGACTGCGAGTCACAAGTCTTTATACCTGTAAATTTTTACCCATTTTTTTGTTTTGATAGATCAGTGCCACAAATGGTAAAAAATTGATTTTGTTTGTATTTTTTGGTAACTCAAGACTTTTTTATGCACAGGAAAAATCCTGTCCCGTCCCGAACTAAATATTCAATCCCGTCCATCCCTAAGTAAAACTATTATGTTTTTCAGTAAAATGTTTTAAATATTAAAATTAAAACCAAATGGGATAAAGCAAACCTACATAACATAAAAATTTGAAGTTTTAGAATTGTGCATTAAACATACATAATTAATAAACCTCCTGTTCCTGTCTTAAAAAACAGGAAAATTAGCTCATGCCTATTTATGTTTACATTTACATTGTTTAATCAGTAAATCAGCTTATTTAAATCATACAAATTATTGGTAATGAAACCCTAGCTTTGTGCAAATGGAGAACTGATAGAAACCCAGGGAAAGTAAATTTTGAGCAAGGTAAAACCACCTGATAGTGTTTGCCTTGCTAGAATTAACAGTTGGGAAACAATTATTTTATTTTATATTAGCTGTCATTGAAAATAGCTACTTTGTGTACCAAGTGATGAAAATAAATTTCAAAGCTGCACGTCTGGAAATATCCGTCATCATGTTTTAGCCAAAGTGGAAGTTGTTTTGTAAAGCACACTGGTCGTATCAAAGCCCTTGTCAAACTATGGGTTCTCCCTCCGGTCAAGGGATTCTGATTCTGATTCTGATTCTAGTATATCTGTATTACCAAGTGTAAATTATCTACTGCTACAATGTTCAATTTCTAACAACACTAGTTTTGATTATATGAAACGGAGTGACCCTTACACTAATGGTTTTTCAGGTTCTAACACATATGAGGAAGCAGCCGCCTACATCCAGATGAAGTTTGAGAATCTCAACAAGAGGAAAGATCAAAAAGAGATATACACTCACTTCACATGTGCCACTGACACCAATAACATACAATTCGTCTTCGACGCTGTCACAGACGTCATCATAAAGAATAATCTTAAGGATTGTGGATTGTTTTAAGGAAACTAGATCGCTTGCCATCAACTGCATTGCCATTAGTTTTTAAGATCTCATCAATGAACTCCATTCCTTATTAAGACTTTATGAGCTATTTTCACAATCAGTCAAAACTATTAATTTGCCGTTATCTTTGTATTGATGTTTTGTATTACTTATCAAAGCACTTTCTTATTTCAGCAAATTTTTCCATATAGGAAATAAGCTATTACCATAGGTCTTATGGTATGACCTGGACCAGGGACCGATTTATTTTTTTGCTACGAGGTCCCCAGAGAGGCCAAAAACACCCTTATATTCATATTCAAATTCATATATTTATGTGTCCGTTATCAAGATAACTCGAGCAAAAAAGATCCAATTTCGACGAAATTTGGCACAAACAAGTAAACCTAAGTTTACTCGAACGAGTTTGCGAACCAGCATGATCAGACTTAAGGAACGGGGTTTTATGGTGTAGAATCAGTTTTTCCCATTTTTACCCTAAAGTAAAATCACAAAATGTTGCAATATTTGTCGATACTATTTTGTAGCGCTAAAAAAAATAAATAATCTATTATATTGAAACTTTGTTTTATACCTAATGGTCTCGGAGAAAATTTAAAAAGGTGTAAAATAAGAATTCCCATATTATTTTTATTAAGGATAACTGTTGTAGTTTGCTAAGCTTGTTTATGGATATATTTTGATCAATTTTGTTTTGGTAATTTTGTTTATTTCATACTAAGCTACCAACATTTCATTCAAAACGCAAGTACTCAAAATTAATGTTTTTTTTTTATGGGAAATAAATCTGACAAGGGACCATTTTAGTGGAAATTTAGCCAGCTAAATGGAAATTGGCTTAGTCTGCAGGATTGCTATGGCAGTATTGTAATAGTAACTTAGAAATTTGCTAATATATGTAAACATTTGTAAACCTAGGAATAAGGTTTGTAACACAAGATAAGCTTTAACTACAAATCGTTCAAGTTTTATTTATTTTTACAACCAGATAAAAAAAAACAATTACTAGGCCTATCATGATATTTGAGCTATACATAGGTGGTGCTAGATTTAAAAAATCTTCTATTTGTGCCTTTACTAAGCTACAACTACATCCTTATCAACTAAAGAATTACTTAGGAACGTGGTTTTTATATTTTTAAATTATAATATAACTTAAGTCAATCTGTAGTATGTACATAATAGTTTTTCTCAACTGTAAATATAGATTAATTAAAATCAAAACCAGATTGCAAGAAATATACGTACTAACACACATTTTGCTCAAGAGTGAGTGCCTTATTAAGATAAATGTATATTAATTGAAACTCAAAAATTTAAATTTTGATAAGAAATACTGTACTTTTTGTGAAGTAAAATTAATTAATCTGTGTTTAAATTAAACAAATAAACACAAAGAAAGAAAGGAGAAACTGTGTAGATAAATTTGATTTTTGTTGTCTTATATTGCTTCATATGCAGGTTAAAGTTATAACCCTTAAAACTAGAAATTACACATTTTAGAATCTTCTGTGATTGGGACAGTAATGCAGTTTTAGTGTGCTAGGGCTACATTTTTAGATAAAAGACCAAAACTCACCTTGTCGAAACAAGCTCAAACTCAACAGACAAGGCAGAGCCTAGGCTAGTGATGAATTGTATTGTTAAACTGCACAAACTATAAGCTATCTTCACTTAAATAAAGTTGTATACATTTAGTCGTTAGATACATGGTGGAAGTAAGTAAGGTGTGCTATTCAGCCGGACGAGTCTGAGACCGTTTTGCTCATCACGATGTGACGTCACCTTGGGGGCAAACTGCCTCGCAAGCGTATATAACTCAGTGTGACGCCGCTTGATTAACATCAACATTTTGAACAGTTAGAATTGGGAAAAAATTATAAAACTTGACATGGACATTAATTATTATAAGTGGACGATGCGTGTTGTGAAAAAATATCTAGTATATGTACAAACTTAACCGTGAAATCACTCTTTATACTTGGCCTTTCTTAAAACTAAACATGAAAAAGTTAGTCGGCTACCAAATCACGTACTATTTGGTTAGAAGCATCTGACCAGCGGGAAAGTTTTAGATAAAGATTCAAATTTAACTTTTTTTAACTAAATACCATTAGACGCTTATTTCCTGGGATACGCGTAGTTATATTAGCACATGATCAGAGCGGGCGCTGCGAGTCGATTCAGTTGCCATGTATAAATCACGCATTACCATCCAACCAATAATGTAGTTTTATGAATATAGTAGTGGTGATATTTTTATTCCTATATTTATATTTTTATGTGTGAAAATTGTAGTTCTGTTGACTTCAGGATGTTTTTTTTTCAGTTTGAATACAGATTATTTTGTAATAGTTCCCAGAGAAGATATAATTTGGTCTTATCTGTCAATAGGGTTAACGTTGCCAAATAACATTTAAAGTGTTGCAAATCGTATTGCATATAATATTTTAAATAATGAATTCTCTTTAACGCAAAGAAATGTATAACATAGTATATAAAATAAATACTCTGTTTAAAATAATTTGGTGATTAAACATTGTATTTATAATCAGCAAGCATTCAGTGATTAAAATATCAAACTGTTTCACTCTTGTAATACAATAATAAAAAAAAAACTGATGTTTCAGTTTAACTTGACTGCTAGGATCCTATTTCACTGGGGTTGTTATCTATGTCGCAACTTTGGCTTGGATGCAGGGGTGTGGGCAGGAGATGGTCACGTGTTGTTTGTTTTGTTTTTGTCTCGGTGTTGACCGCGAGTTGCAGTAGATATAAGTTTTGCAAAGGGTAGGAACCTATCATCAAAATCAAGCAAATAAACAGAAAGCTAAGACAATGTAATTTTGCAAGTGGAAAAAAAGAAAATTTCTGATGAAACTTAAAAAAGCTTAGAAAAATCCAGAGCTGATGAAATGTTTTACATGTTTACTTTCAGGTCGTAAATTTTGATATAAAAATATAAAATGTAATAAACTATTTTAGTGTAAAACTTATTATATTACATCTGTCACATGTTGATATTACATATTTGGTTGAAAATGTATAATACAAAGTATATCCTTATAACGTATAGCCACAGTGTATTGGATAATTAATGCGTGGCCTTTTTATCCAATAAACGGCGGCCTCGGCTGAAAGCACGCTCCGTTGCCGCTTGATATCATTCTTCGTAGCTAAAAAAGTAATTCCTTTATCGAAATCTAATCGATACTACAGTTAAATTAGAACCTTTCCCTAAATCTTTCCGTCAGGTCTGACAAACCTGACCAAATAATACGTGATTTGGTAGCCGACTAACTTTTTCGTGTTAGTATGAAAAAGTTTAAGTTCAGTGGTTTAGTGGTTTTTATTTGAAATAAATTAATAACATTTAAATCATCATAAGCATCTTATGTTAATAGTCTATGACTATGCAAAGTTTCAAAAAATTTATCGGTTCTAACTATTTAAAATTACGATCAATCAATCAATCAACCCCGCCCCGCACCACCATCGCCCGGCCACGATGCGCAGTAGCACATCTGTCTTTACTTCCACCATGATTAGATACTACTAAAAGGATTGATTATGGTAACAGTAGTCTTCTATGCAAGAGGAATTTGGCTTGATGTCCCCAACATTTAATGGGCTTGGATTGCTCTCTCTTAAGAGAACAAAATCCTCTGTCATATTATGTTGTACTTCTGGAACATTATTGCTAATGTCTTCCTTTGCTTCCTAGTATAAGCACTTACAAAAAAGATATTTTGCCAAGTTTAATGGCTTCAGCATGACTCATGGATGTTATAAATGCTTATGCAAATATTTAAAGATGTTTATTGCTGTGATTTTATTTGATCTTATTGTTGTGTGTAAAACTGTCGACTCCTGCACATTCCCAACTTCATATTAAACAAACAATTATTATGTGATTTCTCCAACCATATTTTCCAACAATTTTTTTTTTATTAAGGCCATTCTTTAGACAGCTAGGATGTATTTCATTTTTGTGTCATTTAGTAATAACTTTGTCTGATTAAAACAACTATGTTTATATCATCTTAAGTTTTCCTATGATTGAGATTAAAGGCAGCATTTAATGTCTTATAGTGGTAGTCAAAGAGGGATGGACTCACTACAGTTTTTGTTTACTACACTTGCACTAATTTAAGTAACATTACCTAGTGCCTGTCTTCTACAAAAAATCACAATTTGTCCCTTTTAAGTCCTTTTTAATAAGCCCTGAGAATTTTTTTTAATACACCCAATACCTGAAGGTGTTTTTTTAGTTATTAAACTAATAAAAACATTTGGAAGGGTAAAAGAACGAAAGGGTAGATAGTTAATTCAAAGAAGATTATTATTATTTTTGTTATTCTTAAAGCTAACTTAAACACAACATTAATATTTACACTACCTGTACTAAAATATGTAAATTACGGATTATGTTGTCAAATTCCAATTTTTTGTGCACCACTTTTCCAGTGTGTATTCAAAGCATTCCTACCATCACATTTGTATAATTGTATGATAAGTTAAGCATTAAATGCCAACTGATGTCTGGTATGAGGCTTGTGAAAACAAGTAGATGCAAGTAAACATAATTTTTCATTTTTTGTATTTTCACCTCTGTATAATCTTGTTTGTAGGCCTTATCATTAATAGTTCTACATACAATTTTCTATTGATACAATCATAGATAAAACATACTCCCCCAAGTAGATTTCTCATCCTTATGGAACAGCTGAAGACAATTTTATTGTTAGTTCTGTACGGTTATGTAGAGGTCGTGTTTTGTATACAATTTGTTTCCCGTTATTACAGTCATTTAAAATCTTGTTTGACCATATAATACGATCTAATCTTAAACAATAACTTGTCCCCTAGTTATATAACCAAACAGTAAAGCACAAATCAAGAAATTAACCCTAAAATAATAGAAACAAAATTTCGTCGACACTAGCGCCCAGATTCATTGTACATGAACTAGACACAAAAAACGTGCTTCAAAATTTACAATGGGATGAGAAGTCTACTTGTGTTGGTTAGTCTATGATACAATTTAGAGCAATATCTTATTTATATTATTTTCAAATGGTATTGTGTTGTGTCAAAGCGCTCTCTGGATTACCTTTGATAGTTCTATTATTTAGTTATAACTTACCCATAAATTAATAACTTATGAATTTTGTAAGATATTTTTACGATTTTATAAATAAAAAAATTTTGAAGTTAATTTATTTTTCTTTCTTTATCCTTTTAATGTTAATTGAGCAGAAATGCATCTTAAAAAGAGTTGGTCCCTGTAGTACAAATCTCTGTTGATTAAATTTAAAAAGTATTTTAACTTTAGTTATTTTATGCAAGTTACAAAAAATTTCAAGACTGATGGAGTGATCCAACTGTGCCCACAGCTTATTCAAAGTGGATGAAAAATTACAATAAATAAATAATAAATCTTTATTCACCATAAGGATATGTTAAATATCAAGGACAAATACAAAATAACAGTAAGTTTTAGGCAAAGTCAACTTACAAAGTATGATATTTATGAAATCACACATCAAGATCATATGTACACTAATTAAGGACCTGATAATGTAGCAGGTGAACAGTAGGGTCCAGAATTAAGGATCTGTGGCTTAACTAATTAATTCTACAAATTTATCCAACTCAATTTGAAAAAAAAGATCACCCAGGCTATGAGAAAGGTTACCTGGTAACCAATTGTAAACCAAGGATGAGTAAATGTCAATATTAAGTTCTGGCCCAGAAATACAGGGTGTTTAAAAAAGAATGCCGGGATTTTAAATTGTAATTTCTTGGATACTATTCGCGATGATTTATGCATCAAATTGAAGCAAAAATAACTAAGTTTTGTTTCCGTGTAGCAAGGGAGGAAACTTTGACCTTGGCATAACAAAACAGGTGCAGGGTGGTAGGCCGCTATTGTGACCCATACGCCTGAAGTCGCCAGTGCAATGTTTACGGTGCAATAGAAGGCACAGAGTGTAATCTGTGGATCACAGAGTTTATATCGATTGCTAACATAAACTAAATTTAAATCTACTTTATGATAAAGGAATTTGATGCTGGTTTAATGAGTTTCGGGAGTGTTTTGAAAAAGACATTCACCTGGTTGGCTAAAAGCGATGACCTAGTCAAAGAAATCCGACAATTCTGCATCAGAAGCCCCAAAAAATTGATTGCCCGACGAAGTCTTCAGTTGAAGTTCAACTTGAACATATCTAGATCAACACTTCATGATGTTATCTGTAAAAGATAAGAGTCTTTGTGCCTAAAAAGATTCAGTTAAGACATCAGATAAACCCGCCGATCCCCCAAGCGTACAGACTTGGCCAGTTTTCCCCTAATATAAGATTGATGAAAATCTGAATGTTATTAAATTATTCCAAATTGTATCAAAGTGTGAGAAAAAACTTTGTTCTCTTTCCTTCAATTTGACGTTTAATTTATTTAATTATCTTGAATAGTACCCGAGCATTAACCGTTAAAATCGTGGCATTCTTTTATAAACACCCTGAATTTTGGTCCTTGCAGTGTTTTTAAGCCTAGACATAGTGAAAGAGGGTTTAACAAACCTATTTTTTATCGTTAGGTGAGGAAAACGAGTTTTTTTTTTTGCATTTGCTGCATCAAAACAAGGAAGGACTTGATAATAAGTCTGTTACTGTAGAGCTGTTTTTTTTTTGTTTTTTTTTTCGCGTGCAGCCGATATTTTTGAGGGATATAGCCTTGTTGACTCGTACTCTAGAGCTCTTCATAAAGGAGGTGGTGTAGCAATCTACATTAAGGATCATTTCAGTAAATTTGTATCAAAATTAAGGCCTACATGACTTAAAAACTTGTTTAACGACTCAAGACATTAAAATAGTAATGGCCAAGATATGTATTGGTAATTTTATTTTATTTATGATAGCTATATCTAGGTCACCAAATGGAACCCTGTCAAATTTCTTGCAAAATCTCAAAGTTGGTGTGGATGCAATTCCAAAAAGTGACAGTGTTAGAATTTGTATACTAGGTTATATGAATATAGACACATTGAATGATAGTAATGAAAAGAGAAATTTGTTGGAATATTTATGTTTGCTGTCCATATTTTGGATTATTGACTTGCCTTGTGAACAGGTTCTTTTCACACATAGACCAAAGAATTTTCTCATTACAGAAAAGAGACACATTTAGTAGCAATTTCACATAATAACAAGGTGTAGTTTTAAGTACCTAAGTGCCATTTTGCTACACTGCGGCTGCAGTCGGCGTTCTTGGCATGCACACTGGGGCGTATGATTTGCCTTACGATAATATACATATACACTTAATATACACTTACGATTTGCCTACGCACTGACACAATTACAGTATGATTCTCCCTTTTTTACATTGTGTAATGGGTGTTTAGGATGCCTAAGATAATCGCAAGTCCCACTGACTGTGAAGGACAGGCTGTTTATTTGATTTCTAGTCTAAAGGCCTAAAAAGCGTTCGATATTCGTCGTGAGATAAGTGCAGTTTACAGAGAAAACATTATGAGTAACAGAATGGTAAGAAAGTGGGTGAGATGAAAAAACGAGCCTCTTAAGTTAAAAAAAAATTAAAATATCAGATTTGAGAAAAATTGTTTATACATTGAAAAATACTAAATCTGCAGGGTGGAATGAAATCACCTTATTGTAATAAAATATGTGATTGATTTGATTCAAGAACCTTTGTGAAAAATAATAAACCAGTCCCTAGAATGTGGAGTTTTCCCTGAGAACTCTTTGAGAAATCTTTAACTCACCAAAATGGTAGGAAGTTAGACGTTATACTGTTGGTTTAATCTCCAAACAGCAAGCATATCTGACGGTTCAGTAGCAGGTGGACAATTGATCATGCATGACTGCATGAGGTCCGCTCTTCTGGCCCTTCTTCACCATTGCCCCTGGCGGCGGGGTAGCTAACTAGCGTCCTCCCCTCTACGATGACGTAGAACCCCTCTTGTCCTGCTCCTTCGATGCTGTTGTCAATGCGGGCGCGGTTCACCTCGAACTCAGAAAATTATAATAACTTTGAATGAAAACTTAAAAACGGATTCTTACCCCTCGACAGGTTTTTGGTCGTTACAATGTGCAAAAAAGTGTGGTTTGTGGTTCTTGAAATGGTCTTACCTTCTCAACCACATCACTTGGATTTTTAAAATTGCTTGGGAAGGCTGCAAGGACTGTACAGATTTCCTCAGATTTTCCAGAAGCTGCAAAATTGAAGTTAATTCAGTCTCTGATGGTGTTGTTAGGTCAAGGTCTAATCCGAAACATCTAAAAACGATCATAGATTTCTACTTTTCCCCAAAACTAATGACAGGATTTTGAAAATTGAATATAAAATCTCAAAACTCAATTTACAGGTATGGTTAAGAAGTCAACTGAAAGGTTGAAATTGTCACCTAGCGTGGCCACCTCCAGGTTGCAGCAACAAAGTCGTTGTCGTAACTTTATTTACAGGTTTTATGTCTACTAGGTTTGTTTACCTTATGCACTGGTTGAATCTGCTGATCCTCAGTGTTCAACATAGCCACCACCTCGTCGAATGCACGTTTGCACTCTTTTTTTCAAAATCGTCGACCGCCCGACAAATTTCTGCACCTTCAAGCGAACAAATACCATCTCTTATACTTTGGCCCATGTTTTCTCTTGTAGTCGGGCGTTCCTGGTGAACCATATGCTTCAATATTCCCCATAAATAATAATCGAGGACTGTCAAATCCGACGATCGTGATGGAAAGCTGACAGGCCCATACATCCCTATCCAACTGTTGGGGAACACTCGGTGCAATGTTTCTCGGCTAGTAACAGCTATGTGGGGAAACCACATATTGAAGCGCAGATCAAGAGAGATATCTTCTAACATAATCGGCAATTCTATCTCCAAGAGTTCTACATACCGATGATGATTAAGATTTCCCTAAAAAATAACGCGGCCTATGATTTTGTCATTGACAATGCCACACCATAGGTTTATTATCCAAACACGTTGGTGATCTACTGGTCTCAACCAGTGTCGGTTTTGCTGTGACCAGAAGCGACAGTTCCACGTGTTAACTGATCCATCACTCTTAAATGTGCATATCTCCGACCACAGTACTCTTCTGTGGAACAGATCTGGCTGACGTTGGAACCAGTTGCAGAACGCAAGACGTTGCAAGATATCATTGTTGTCTATTTCCTTGACCAAAATCATTTTGTAGGGATGGAACTTATTGTCTTTGAGGATGTTTTTATAGTTTTTTTCAACAAAACAAAACCGTAAAAATTCCCCCACTATTATCATTGATGATGGAACAAGACAACATTTTTAGGGTTGAACATTGATGAAAACATTAATCTGGGATGAAAACATCGCTGGGATTATCATACCGATCACATAATTAATAAAATCTGTTCTGGTATATATGCAATGACACGAATGACCCCTTTATGTAATATCGGTACTGTATCCTAAAAAAATATATTTTGCTCTTATACATTCACATATATATCATATGGGATTTGTTAATATGGAGTAACAACAAAATTGAATCTTGATACAATTTTAATACTTAAAAAAAGGCCATAAGAACTATTTTAATCTAAAACATGACAAATCGGCCAAAGAATTCTTCAAAAATTTAATAGTTTATGGCTAATATATTTTTGAATGTATTATATTTTAAAACTAACTCAAAATCACAAGTCCAATCTACACACCACTATAACACACGGAGGAAATTTGGAACAAAGTTAGAGAAACACAGATTAGAATTTTATAAGAAAAAACCACCTATATGGGGAACAAATTTCTTTTTAAAGCACTACCAGATGAACTAAGATTAGAAAAAAAATGCAAACAAATTTAAGGCAAAACTGAAGACAATCTTTATAGAAAAAAATGTATACTCTCTTCAGGACTTCTTTACTTTTATGTGAGTTTGCATTGAGAGAAGTGTAGCTTTGTCTGTGGTAGGTGATCCTACAAACTATGTTGATGGTACAGTATATTAGGTATACATATATGTAGTTGATGCTATATTATGTACATGTGACACAATTTCTTGTATTTATGTACGAAGACAAATAAAGATGATTGATTGATTGATTGTTACAGATCGTAGCATAACTTACTCCAGATTCTTGTCCGCCACCAATCATCTCTTATGGAATCATGGGCTGAATAAGTATGGATAA